AAATACGAACACGAGCTTTACCGAGATTAGTCGAATGCACTCGATCGCTTAAATTTCACAGTTACTTGGGTTCACGTGATGTTTGATCGCTCGGGTTTTTAAACTAAAAGATGATAAAAATATACCTGTTGTAAAATTGTTAAAAGTAAAATGTCTTCTAAAATGTGTTTGGTCTGTGGTAAAGTTCCTGATTGCAGTAAAACCTGTTCTGAATGCTTCGCAAGTATTCCGGAAAATTCGACATTCATCGATATAAAAAATCGAGGATATCTTTCATATCCTTCCGATGAAATGTTTAAATTATATTTATATATAGAAACCCTAATTCGAAATTCTTTAAATTTAATGTACAAAAGTTCATATGAAAGCACGATTCTCCGAAAGTTGAATGACTTGGGACTTGCACATTTTTTTAGATCAAGCCATTTCCAGCAATTTGTCCAGCACTATCATGACCTTATCAACTTTGTCGCAAAAATGTATTTAACAATTAGAATGCACCATGAAGAACATAAAAAAAGCAAAGTTGATAAATATGTACGCCACTTTCACACAAAAATTGTGCTTTTTAAACACCAATAATAAATATATTACATTTAAACAAATATTTCATTGTTGCTTTCTAATTTTCCATAATAGCTCTAGCCAACTGTTCTTATTTTCAGTGAATTTTATAAATATGTAAAATATTTTTTTATTTTTTTTTCTTATTTTCCTTAAACACTTTGTATAACTAAAATAAATAAAATAAATATATAAATAGTTCATTACATTCATTAGTTTAACATAAATTGTATATTATATAATATTTTCCCAACAATTTCGAACACACGGACTTTCATTTGACGTTCAAGCGATCGAGTTTGACATATCTCGGCCGCAGAATTACCCTCGTATGCCCTCATACCATAGAACATCTTTTGACACTTTTTTACTTGAGAAATGTATGGGGACTAGCAGTCCATGAAATTGTATAAGGTCTATGGGTTTAACCAATACTCTGCAGGTTTATTTGCTTTATGTTTTTTGTACTTAACCTCGATCCATTCTTCAAAGCTCATGACTTTCGATCCTTGTTTGGAGGTCGATGGTGGTTGGTTGTGTGAAATCGACACAGGATGAACATTATCTAAACAAGATGAAGAATCGTTCAAAAGTGAGTTTTCTGATGGGGTCCGGGTCTGCTTAGTTGGATTTTCTATATGAATTTTCACGCTTTTCCGAGGCATCGGTTGTGGAATAGTTTGTTCAGTATCCATGTTTTCTTGACAATTAATCGAATTTCCGTTTAAATTATTTGATAATTTGAGACGTAATTTTTCTGTGGTTTGATCCGAACATGTTTGCAAATCTTCATGTAAATATATTATTTGTTTTGGTAAGAGAAAGTTTGTTCATTATGTCCCCATAAGGGTGACACAAAAATGTGTAATGTCAACACACTAATTACTATACAAGTTAAGTACACTGTTATAAAATATCACTTATTTAATGTTTGTAAAAACTACATTAATTTCGTACTTTGATTATGGTTTACATACACAGTATAATAATTTGACGCGAGAGCATTCACTTTCACACGTCCGTCCGCGTCGAGGGTTCGACTTGAACTGACGTCTCAAACTTTAAACATTTTTTTAATTTCACCAATCCAAGAATTATTCATCGAGAAGCCAACACTTTACGCAGGAAGTTCGCAGAGAGTATTTTTATACAAATATTACCTACGATTAACAAACGTTTTGATTCGGCTTCTCTTTGCAATATTTACCGCGATGCTTCGAATAATTTTTTCAATATGCGCAATACTTCCTAACATTTCTTTTATGTTATATATATATATATATATATATATATATATATGTATGTGTATATATATATATATATATATATATGTATGTGTATATGTATATATATATACATGTTTATGTTTGTTGGATATATATGTATGGGCATATATGTATGTATTTGTTGTATATATATGGATTTTACATATATGTTTGTATATGCATGTGTGCATGAGTTTGTTTATGTATGTTTGTATATGTGTATGCATATGTACATTTATTGAGATGCGTATATATACATATATATGTTGTTTTATATTTGTTTATATAATAACTTGTTTCATAACTATTATTGGTTTCAGTTAATATCTTTACTTTTTCTTAATAAAATTCTGTTTATTCACATATTTTTTACATTGTTCTATCATGGTTTTATTATGTTTCTATATTTTTATTTTGATCCACATATTATTTCATTTTGATCCAGTTATGTTTAACCGTCCGATTATGGATGGCTTACACATTAATTTTTCCATGTTCCTACTGCGCATGATCGCTGGGAAATTCTTCGTAATTGTAACCACTAAAATTCTCTCTATCCCGTTCTTTCATCCAATGACGATACAGTTTCCACTATTTTCCGCTGTTAACACGTAGGCCCACATTTTACTTTCGTTACACACACGTATCTCAGTCTCCAAACTAACAACATGTTCGTTTGGAATAAGCTTTTTTATAATAAAACATATTATTTATTTTAATTCTACAATTTTCAAAAATTTTCATAACTTGACGTCTTTTCAATGTTTTATTTCATATTTATTTTCGTTACAATTTTGTGTTGTTTCTTTGTGTTATTTTTTTAAAAAAAAAATTTTAACATTTATTTGTATGGTGAGTTTCTTTGCATTAGCTTATTTTATGGTTGTTTTTCATATATACTTTTGATATACATTGTTCTACTTATTTTTTCTGTAATTATATATTTTTTATATTGTTTAAATTTATAACCCTGTTATATTTATTTGTAGCACTGAAGATTGGTCAAATCTAGACCCGAAACGTATGTTCACTTAATAAAAACATTTTTCAATAAAACTGTTTTTTAGTTATATTATTGGTTTCAGTTAATATCTTTACTTTTTCTTAATAAAATTCTGTTTATTCACATATTTTTTACATTGTTCTATCATGGTTTTATTATGTTTCTATATTTTTATTTTGATCCACATATTATTTCATTTTGATCCAGTTATGTTTAACCGTCCGATTATGGATGGCTTACACATTTAATTTTTTCCATGTTCCTACTGCGCATGATCGCTGGGAAATTCTTCGTAATTGTAACCACTAAAATTCTCTCTATCCCGTTCTTTCATCCAATGACGATACAGTTTCCACTATTTTCCGCTGTTAACACGTAGGCCCACATTTTACTTTCGTTACACACACGTATCTCAGTCTCCAAACTAACAACATGTTCGTTTGGAATAAGCTTTTTTATAATAAAACATATTATTTATTTTAATTCTACAATTTTCAAAAATTTTCATAACTTGACGTCTTTTCAATGTTTTATTTCATATTATTTTTCGTTACAATTTTGTGTTGTTTCTTTGTGTTATTTTTTTAAAAAAAAAATTTTAACATTTATTTGTATGGTGAGTTTCTTTGCATTAGCTTATTTTATGGTTGTTTTTCATATATACTTTTGATATACATTGTTCTACTTATTTTTTCTGTAATTATATATTTTTTATATTGTTTAAATTTATAACCCTGTTATATTTATTTGTAGCACTGAAGATTGGTCAAATCTAGACCCGAAACGTATGTTCACTTAATAAAAACATTTTTCAATAAAACTGTTTTTTAGTTATTGGATGGATGCCCAAGAAACAATTTTATAATATTATTTCACCATCTGAAGAAAAACCTCTCGCTTTATATATATATATATATATATATATATATATATATATTAAATAAATTCTAATAAAATATAACTTAATTATATCAATGAATTTGCTTTTTAATATTTCCTAGTTATATATCGTTATGTCGCTTTAATCTAATATTCTACAATATTTGGACTCCTGTAAATTCATTAAATTTTTAATGTTCTATTTGAGATTAAATAACATTATATTTTAATCGTATTAATTTGCGGAGTTTCTGTTTGTGCCGGGTACAAACACAAAATGATAGTTTCAAACTCATCGGACTGCTTGATGGAACGCATACGCATGACTGACAATCCGCAACAGTTTGGAATCCGAAATTTTGGATGGAACAGAAAAAAGTGTTCTGCGCATGCGCGGACGGTTTCGGACTGTCAGATTGGCTCGGACAGAACGAACCCCTTGGGTCTATGGTCCATAGATAAAACAAGAGTATATAGATCGCTCTCTCGGGCCATATTTCGTTGCCACATTCCTGTGTTAGTTGAAGCCCCCCTCTACAGATAGCACTAGTCGCCTGAACGGGTGCGTATAAAAAATACTATAGAGATGAACCAAAATTATATGGACCGTTTTAATTTAAAATTTAAAAAAAAAAAATTGAAAAAAAAAAAATTTAGAAGCATTTATTTTTCACAAAAACATTCTACATTATATCTACATAGTAGTTCTCTTTATAAACAATGCACACATAGCATAGAAATGTACATAAATATACACAGTATTCGGCCACAATATATAATATATATAATATAGATTATATATATATATATATATGATGATGATTTCATTTTTCAAAATTTTATATATATACATATTTTTTGTTTTTAGAACAAAATATCCATGTTTGTCAAATTTTACATAAAATAATTTTTTGAATGATTAATAATTGCAACTTTTAATACTGGTTTGGTATGTATAATTTTAATTCTGTTTCATTTTATTTTGTCTTTGGAGGATGTAGAAGGGGAGAATTTGTTGGTCAACAAGCCGATAATGAGTTTTCTATAATTCGGAGAGATTATTATCATGCATTGGAAGATGCAATGATGAATCAAGTTCAATTAGTGGAAAAAATGTATATCTAGTGGAAAATACCTAAACTTGGTGAGGCTATTCATGATTCATGAACTAAGTAAAAGAAAATTATTGCTGTAATAATATTTTATATAGAAAAGGGTTCAAACCACTTTAAATATTTTATATTATTAATAATGTTTTATTGTGGTTATTGTTTTATTCCAGATAGTGAACTACATAAATTTAAATGTGAGCTGGAGGCCGATCATAATGGAATTACTGAAGTACTTGAAAAACGTTCTTTGGAACTTGATGTACCACAGCAGTTGCCATCAAATCCACAAAAAGAAAACAGGTTATGATATTAAAATATTGGCACATTAAATCAAGCTTCAAGCAGATCTTTTTATAACAATTATGATTACTCTTCAAGGCCTAGAATTAAAATTTATTTTACAATACATAAATACTTGTGCTTATAATTGCATTGTTATTTAATATTCAAATATAAGCTGATCATAAAACTTTTCTAAAATCATCATTACAGAGAGACTCATATACCTATGAGTAAATTATAATGCTTTACATTATGATTATAGATGTTGTAAACTAAACAAAGTCACTTACTTTATTTGCTGGAAGCTTGATTATATTTATTGTCATAATATCTTCTAACAAATTTTCAGATACAGGCCTCGTGCTGAAAAAAGACGTGATAGCACTTCGTCAGTTAGAGCTGATTGTATGCCTTTAGAGAAAAGACATTCTAGTCATGCTACATCTTCGCCAGCATCATCGCAAAGTAATATAGCTGCCATTCAGAACTCTACTCCTGGTTCAAGTTCCACTGGATATACTCTTCAACATATTGGTGCAGGTAAGCTGTGCAGTGTGATAATATATTTATATTGATGTATTTATAGTGCATGTGTATAATATCAAATAAAATATTTGTGAAAAATTGCATGCTTTTATAAATAACTAGAATTGATACAAGTTTTGACTTTTCTTTTAACAATGTTGGACTGCTACTAATATTGGTAAGTTATTAATACACTAACATTTCAATTAATTCTATGTTAAAAAAAGCTGTTATTATTTATATTATATTTCAAAAATAGCTAGTTACAATATATTTTGTATGTATTAATATCTTTTTACAAGCCTTATCTGGTTGATAAACAAAATATTGAATATAGCTCAACATATCTTTTCGAAAGAGTTTATTTACATAACTATTCGATTATCAAGGTGTATATTTTAGAATACATTGTTTTATTTATTATCATTATTATTATTTTTTTTTGAAACCCTCAAGGTTACTTAGATTTTATATTATTTTTTTTTTTTTCATGAAGAATGGTAACTATATTGTTGAATTTAATTGATACAATTCATATAATATCAAATACTTTTTACTTGAAGTTCTCATAAACTTTATAACTTTTTGAAAATAAATGAACCGCCTTTTATCTTGACAGAGTATGAAATAAGTTTTTAATTAGGACTTTGGGTTCTATCTCAATATTGCTTTATGTTTAAAAAGTTTTCTTGTTAATTGTTGTTAATTAAGGGGGTATTCTATTGTAGAAATTCCAAAAAATTGTGTTTTTGTTTTTTTTTCATATTTTCAAAGCTTAACTATTCAAGAATGTATATACAAGAGGATTTTTTGAAATCTAAATTATTTTTGGAGATACAGCTATTTGACTATAATGATCTTCTTCTGTTTCCTTTCTTTTGCAAAACTTAACGCTTTTTTCTCAAAACGGTCTTTCAATAAGATGTACACGATTTCTTGAGTTCTACTAGACCGATTCACTTAAAATTTTCAGAGAACCTTTTTCATAGACTTTTGTCTAGTATGCACTAGTCACATTCCCAAATTTCAATTTCACTTTTTTTTTATCAAATCAAGAAACTCAAAAAAGTGGCAACAGTTGCCATTTATGTAAAAACAATAGCTTAATCCTAGTATATACCATAGAGACATCATTCTAGATGAATAATCTTTTTCTTCTCATTTCTGATTACTAGGAGGGTTGCAATTGCGTACATGGTCACCTGTCACCTTTTTGAGACCTCCCACTATAAACACTGCTAATTTTAAAAATTATTAACTTTTTTTTGTTTTAATTTTTTCTGTACTTTTGTAACGTTGATACACAAATAATAGAAAAAATAATACTAAGAAAATTGATTGCCCTTTTTATAATTTAAAAATGACCTAAAATTTATACCTCATAGTAGAATACTCTCTTAGATTGTTTGAGACTCGAGTTACTCCACTGCTAATTATTCTGTTACAAAGAAAATTGAATTTGAACATAAAGTTGAATTCAAATAAATTATTTACTAATCTAACATTATATATATATATATATATATATATATATATATATATAATTTTATATATTAATATATAAAAAATATTTTGAAAGAAAACTAGGCTTTTAGTAATTTAGTAATTTAAGAATCATAATTAGTAATAGCTATTCAGAAATCTTATATATTAATATGCAAGTTTAGAAAACCAAAGCTATATACATTGAGTTGAGTTCTAACAATAATCAGATGCTTATTCAGAATATCAGAATTTTTTATGATTTTATTTGTTACCCATATGTTGTTTTAAATCTAACTATATTACGCTATATATATATACTGAATAGCTATTACTAATACTGATTTTTAAATGTCTAAACTAATAACCTCATTTTTCTTAAAATTTAATTAATTTATATATATATATATATATATTTATTTTTTGAAACAAAATAACAATCTTTAGTTTTTTATCGAAATAATATGATTCATGTTAAAAGATATTATTATCACTGATTTTCCATTCTTTATGCATAGTATATAACCTAAAAAAATTCTTTGATTTTATGTCTGTTTGTCTGAAATATTGTTTTTAACATACATTTTTCCAAGAATGAAATATTTTGATTTGTTTTCAATTTACTAAGGAGCATTATATATCAATTATAATTTTCCTTTGGATATCTTAAATCGAAAATAACGAACTTCAAAACCTATGATACGCTTACGCAGCCATGTTATTTTTATTATTAATCAGCCTGCTAGCTTCAATTACACAACACAAAAACAAACGTGGTCGTTTTTTTATTTTCATTAACCGCATTCTTTTCCTGATGTACGAGTAAATAGGCATTGAAGATCTATAAAGATAATGCAAAATAAGTACATTTTTAGAACGTGGTTCTGAAATCCTTTTTTACGACCTAGCGAATTTTTGCGGTTCAAATCTTAACTAGTGGGGCGCATGACATCGTGCCTTAACATTTAAAATTTTTAAAAGATTAACATTTTTGAAAAAAAATTACTTTAAAAAATTTAGATTTTTGAGAAACTATAAATTTTTGAAAAAAAAATTAGAAAAAAATGTTTTTTTTATTTTGAAATATTTTTGAAGTAATGAACTTCTTTTCAAAGCAATCGCACTGCTTTAAGTGCATAGAGACGAAAAATCGAAGCGCGTAAGCGCCGTGTCGGCGTCTAACGGATAAACATTGGTACGGAACCCATAGGAATGTAAACAAAATTTATGCTTATTGTTAAAATCTCTATAAAATATCTGATAATTTCATGTGCATATGTGTCTAATAATCATTTTTGACCGCCAAGTGCCTTTTTTTTACTTTTTTCACTAGATCTCCGAAACCGCTAGACCTGCCTTTATGAAAATTTAATTAGTTCATCTTGTCAATACAAGTAAAATGTTTTTTGAATTATTAAAATCGGACACTCCGTTCTCTTAAAAACTGAATTACCCTTTGTGGCACTTTTTGCCCCGTATCTTCGAAACGGCTAGACCTGCCTATGCCAAAAACTAATCAACACGTCTCCTTATCAATAGCAGTCGAATGTTTTTTGAATAATTGAAATCGATTGAACCGTGTTCCCCAAATCGTCGACGAAAATTTTTATCCGCACACACACAAACACATGCACATATTCATTTTTTTCTAAGGTATGCCAAAATGTTCAGAAACCCTGAAACGCAAAGATATATGAAAATTTTCATTTTCGATTTTTTTGCAATTACTATAACTTACCCTACAGGAAGTTAAAAATAATTCAATATAATCTTTGTTAACAGAAATAATTTGTTACACACAGTAGGTTTTATAAATTATTACTAGTTATTACTTTGAAATAAATATACATGTATATTTAATAGTTTTTAATTAGATTGTAAATAATTTTCTTATAGGCAACGCAATTGCAGCTGCTGCTAGCCAAGCTATTACAGCAACTCAGCAGATGCAACAGGGCAGAAGAACAGCCTCTTTAAAAGCATCTTATGAAGCTGCAATTCATTTAGGCACTTCTGGAGGGGCTACTAGTGGACATGAACTGCTAATTGGAAGAGATTTGGCGGGTGCTGCTCAAACAGCATTACAAGCTGTTGAGAGAGAAGGGACCACAGGCCACCGCAGACAAAAAAAGTAAATATTATATTAATTTCAGAAAACTTTGAAAATCGTACAATTCAATTTTTAAACATATATTGTACTGGTTTTTAAACATATATTGTACACTTGGTGTTGATTTCTTATATGGATTTAAAACATTTTAAATAACTAATTATATATTCATTATTGAAAATCATATATTTAATTAAAACAGTTTTATTAAAAAGTAACTTTTCATCCATGAAATTTTGGTTTTATAAATTATTACATGATTATTCAAATTCAATGCAACTAAAAATAACATGTTCTATTAAATATGAGTTATGAATTGTTGTGAGAAAAGTAGATAGCCATATATAAAATCTTATGTTTACATAATATTAAAAAATATATTTTTTTAATTATTTCAGGAAGTACAACAATAATTCTTCTATTTCCCATTCAATAATTGGTGGAACATCCCATTCAAACAGTTCGATGGGATCTGCTGGTTCTTCATCTGGTATTGCACCCATAAATAATACACATACACATGCTGTTGAATCTGTTGATAATGGTACAGAGGTTGATGATGCAGCTGCTTTAGACGCAAATCAAGAAGAGTGGACATATGACCCTAATGAGCCTAAATATTGCCTCTGTAATCAAGTATCCTATGGAGATATGGTCGCTTGTGATAATGAAGATGTAATATACTTTTTTTTATTTACTTCATGTAAATATCTTCAAAGGTATACTTATCACAATCTTATTTATATTTTTTAGTGCCCATTTGAATGGTTCCATTATCCATGTGTTGGAATTGAAGCACCTCCTAAAGGTAAATGGTATTGTCCACAATGTATATCGTCAATGCGGAGAAGAGGTTCAAGGAAAGCTTGAACTGGTGTGTACATACTTGTATATAAAAATCTATTTTTTGTGTAACTTTTATTTTTCGAATATGAACTTTTTTATCTACATATTTTCTTTACACAATATATTCATAATTGTATTATTTGACTTTTAATAAGGTATTGTGTAACATTTTATAGGATGTAGGAATTGCAAATTATTTAGTTTTGTAATATTAACCATGTGAATTAAGTTTTATAAATTTTGAAAATAATTAATTTTATGATTATAAATTATTCAAGATCATATGTAAATTTCACAAAAATACTGTTTACTTTTTTTAATTGTATACAATTTATATATTTTCTTGAGACATGCATTTTTGCTCTGAATTGTTAATCAATCTATGAAAATACTTAGAAAACTGACAACTAAGTTTATTACTATATACTTCAGAAATACTTATTTATAAACTTAATCATGTAATTTGTTTTTTAGCATGAATAAGGTGACTCATATGAAGTGTGACTGTTGTAGAATCTTCTGTAAGAGAATTATGTTTTCAATTTAAAAATGTACTATTTTGAATGTGCTGTATGCTTATATTTATTTATGCTTGATGTAATGATAATGTTGTGTTAGTTCATTTAAAATTTGTAGTAAATATGTGAACTTCATTCAAATTTGCAATAACTTGTCACATGAAGCTTACACATTTTTATACTAAGCATGAAAAAAAAAAAGATTTTAATGTTTGAAATCTTGGTAGACAATCTCAAAATGGGCAAGTAGTTGTATTATAGATCAGCATATTTTTGTTTGGACTTGCAACAATAGTTTTTTTTTTAGCTTTGTTAACAATCTTCTGATAAGTGGTCAGTGAGCAATAATAGAAATAATGAAATAAAAACTATGCAGAATAGCTTTTTGTGAATAGCATTAAATGGAAAATGTACAGTAAATTATAAGAATAAATTCAAAAATAATAATATAAACAAATGTATACTTCATATTTTCCTTGCGCTTATTACTTTTTCTATATCAGTCACATCATTTATTATATTAATAAACTCATTAACATGGACATTATATGCATTTAATATTTGTGCAAATAACTTTGACGAAAGTATATTGTTCAATTTTTCTTTTAGATTGTATTGTAGAGACATCCTAAAAAACAAAACACAAAAATTACATAAAAGAATACATTATTCTTGCAAATAATTTATAAAAACCAAACTTACAATCCTAGTATAAAAAGTGCCAAAAGTTTCTGCATGGCAGGCTTAAATGTAATGTTCGTGGCATCTAATTCAAATGTGTTGATCAGCTGTTGCAATTCGAAAGATATGTTTTCATTTATGTTGTATTCTAATAATAATTTGGCTAATCTAAAATCAAATAAAAAAAATTATTTTTCATTTTATGAAAATTCATCAAATTCATAATTTGATTAAAGTTATAGTTACATAGGATCCAGGTAGGATAATACAATTCCTCTTCTTTTAACAATCTGGTCATATTGATCATTCAAAGGTAAAAATACTGTTTCAACTCTATCCCTTGAAGATGCAATAGTGGTGTCATCAGTACTTAATTCATCCACTGATATTTCTGTTTTCCCTCCATAAAATGCACGAACTTTAATCATAAGCTTATGATTTTCCTGTTTTAAATACTCATAATCCGGTAGTGGTTTAAGATTTTCACCTGGAAAAATAAATTCAATGTATTTTAATTTTAACACACACTTTATTTAATAATTACAGACGTTTCGAGACCATGGTATGCCTCATCTTCATCTTCTCAATATTTTATTTAAATTATATTTAATTTTTGAAAAACATCAATTTGAAAAACTATCTCTTATAATGCTTGACACAGTACTAAACATGTGAATATATATAAAAATATTTGAAAACAAATTTCAAGTGTCGAAGATGAAGGGACAAGGATGGATATTATTAAAATGTAAACTAACAGAGGTGCGCGATCATATACTAAAATCAACAAATGTGAAAATAGATTAATTTATTGAAGAGAATTATATAAATGAACGAAAATAGTAAACAAAAATTTATAAATTATTAATGATGTTTATATAAAAGTCGTGTAAAATATTTGTGTCGGATCTCAGATTTCAATATTGTTCATATTTAACATTCAATGTTAATTCCACACATATCACAAAATTCTATAATATATATATATATATATGTATATATAAATATATATATATATATATGTATATATAAATATATATATATATATATATATATATATATATATACAGATGTGTGTGGAATAATGGATGGATTTCCAAGAGCTATAAATAAATGATGGCATTAACCAAAATTTTGTGTATTGCTAAGTGTTTACAATATATGAAAGTTTTTTTTTATAAGAAATCAAGTCTTCCAATTGAGCATAATGAGCGAATATCACTATAACCGCCATTCCATTTCCTTCAAAGAAGTATGGTCCAAAAGCAAACACCATCAACGAATAACCTGACATGCATTCACATATTTTTTCACTGACTAAAAGTCAAGCAGAAACGGAATGTTAAAACGGAAACGGAATAATAAAAATCAGAATCCCATAAAATTGGGCGCAATTGTGTCATTATTTTTGGTCGTCTCCTAGAAATGTAATTTACATTATTCTCAGCCAATATTTTTCTCTATTTTTTTTTTCAAAATAGTTACAATCAATATCATCACCCAGTTTCTGCTTGGCGTTGAGTTCACCCTGTATATATATATATATATATATATATATATATATATATATAATTTTGTGTTAAGAGTGGAACAAATGAGTGTTGTATTGTTCATATTTAACATTTAATATATATATATATATATATATATATATATATATATATATATATATATACCCTTTATATAATACAAGTATAATTTATTTACATATTTATACCAATATATACAAATTACAATATTATATTTTATACCACCAAGAAACAAAATATTAATCAAATAAAAATACCTACTTTTAGTTATTAAAGAAAGATCTTCCTGTATTTCCATTAAATCCAATTTTTTACATAACTTGGCATATTGTTCCAACTGCTTGGGCGTCAACTTTAAATCTATACTGCTTTTAAATTGATGACTATTTTCTTTACAATATTCTTTAACTCGATCTTCTCCAAGTATATATATTAATGTATCAACAGTTATCCATGAACAAAGGGTATTAGAAATGATTTTTAAAATTGAAACTTTTGGAATGGTCTTTGTATCAACTATATTTTTCAAAGTTTTTTGTTGTTTAACATTTATATCTGTCATTTTATGTACAGTGTTTTTATCAATTTCTTCTGTGTAGCTCTTTTGTCTAATTATGTTTCGAGACTTGCTTCCAGATATTTTATCAAAAGAAGTTAATGGCAAAGAATTACTATTAGTTAGCTTTGTTGTATTTAAGTTATGTGTCTCTGATTCATTTATATTGATACTTTCTACAACCTCTGTTTGGACACTTGTATCATCTGCAGCAGCTTTTTGTAAATTTAGTATTGTATTACATTCATGTTTTATATTAGTTATTGATGTGAATTGTGTGTTTTTAGTGTCTTTATTAGATCGATGATTATCAATCCCATTTTCATTTATATTATCATATTTTAATTGAATTTCATCACCAAGAGAAGAAAAACTAAAAATATTTTTGGTTTATATTTATTCTTGTTATTTTATAAGAAAAATAGTTTTTAGTGAATTAATTAATAACTTTCAAGTTTAGTTGGATGAAAAGCCAAAGGAATACATATTATAAAATGTAAAATAATGATTATAAAACTAAAATACAAATGTTTAAACATACCTTTTAGTATGATTCCATAATTTATAACATCGTTTCTCTTCATTTTCCAATACCCATAATGGACTACTGGGCAACTGTTCTCTAATATATTTTGCAGCAGTAAAACATTGTGGGCTACAGAATTTCTGATATATTAAATTTAAACAATTCACCTTAGAATAAATCAAACTAGGATAAAAGAATTATTAATATAATAATTTACCTTACGTTCAGTAATGTCATATACTTTATTTACAGATGTTGATATCTTAAATTTATGCTTCGGAATTGAACCTAACTGATTATCACATAAAGGGTACCCACAAATTTTCAAAATAAAACGTTCTTCAAACACATCTTCTAAATAGGCTTGATTAAGATATTTCAGCTAAAAATATTTCAAATACTTAAATAAACTCATAAGCTTGATATACAATGTGCTAGTTTCAGATTATTAATGCTTACAATTACTTAATTTAAGTTAAATAAAAAAAATTATACAGAATTATTTGCAAAAATCTTACAACTTGCAGGAACATTTCTTCAGTGGTGGTATCTAGCAACTTCTCTACAATTTTTTGGGCTTTAGCATTACATTCCTTTCTCTTTTTTACAAATATCAAATAATCTTCATGCCTAAATAAAATTTTAGAAAACTGAATGGTGATACCAACAAAATTACATGCACATGTACTTCAACGTACTTCATCTGATCCATAAAAACAGACTTTCTGTCGCTGGAACCGCTCCTTTTATTCATTGTTACACTTTTTCTAGTAACTTACTGTATGAATAATCTATCAAACTGTCAAAAGTGAAAAAATATCAATGTTATTCACCGTATATTCCGTATATTCATTCCTCAAATATTTAAATTATTTGAACAATATTATTATATTGTCAAGGAGTTGAACCCTAGACAATATTAGAATACCCCGTGTTCATGCCTAGACAATATACTGTTGTTCATGTGTCATAAGTGTTCATGAGTCATAAGTTGAACTGTCAAATACGCACAGCTAAGGGTGCATTCGACTTGGACGCTTACGCGCTGTGAGCGCGCCGTGAGCGCGCTTTCATCGTTCGACTTGGCGCTGTGAGTGTGGCATAAGTACGCTCGTAGCACCATCGTAGGATGCTCGTAGCACATATTTTGCGCTCACATACGCTCACGCCACAGAGGTAGGGCAGCGTGAGCGTGAGCGTCAGTTGTTTTTACTATCTGTCATTTCATTTGTTTATTAATTGTCAAATTCTTTATAATTCCGCAAAAATGGCAAGCTGTAGATCACAATTATTTCTTAATATTAATATTGATATTAATTAATTTTAAATTTAATCAATTTTAAATTTCAATTTTAATATTACTATTAATTAAGCATAAGCTAACCAAATTTCATTTATTTATTAATTGTTAAATTCTTTATAATCCCGCAAAAATGCCAAGTTGTATATCACATTTATTTTTTATTCATATTATTTATTTTATTTTATTCATACTATTTATTTATTTTAAATTCAATTAATTTTAAATAATTTTAAATTTTAATTTTAATATTACTATTAATTAAGCATAAGCTAACCAAATTTCATTTATTCATTAATTGTTAAATTCTTTATAATCCCGCAAAAATGCCAAGTTGTATATCACAATTATTTTTTAATATTGATATTAATATTAATTAATTTTAAATTTAATTAATTTTAAATAATTTTAAATTTCAATTTTAATATTACTATTAATTAAGCATAAGCTAACCAAATTTCATTTATTCATTAATTGTTAAATTCTTTATAATCCCGCTGAATGATCCAGAAAGTAATAAAATTTACACAATTACCGTTACCGCCATTTGCCGCCATTTTGATGCTTATTGACGCTCACAGTTTCCAAAACGAACGGAATTTAGTTATCGATTCTGAGCGCTTATCGGCCAAGTCGAACGCTAAAAATTCGTGCTTATAAGCGTGAGCGCTCACAGCGCGTAAGCGTCCAAGTCGAATGCACCCTAAATAAACATAAGCAAATACGCCAAATTCCTTGCTCATTTCTAGACGGTGACGCCCTAGATAAATAAGCATAGACCATAGCATGGCCGGTAATCTCGGAACAAACGTCTGTAACCCGAGTTTAGTTAGAGCCCCTGCCGCCGGTCGCGCTTGTTTTCAGTTTTTTTTTTTTTCACTTTGAAATCGAATTTGACATATGACAGATACGTAAATCAAACATGACGTCCATTGTAATAAATTTTTCATGAAGAGATAACCTAGACAATATAATAAATGCTTGTTAAAGTAAAAAACAAATAAGCTGTCGAAGTGCATTGTTTAACGATGATTTTCTGAATGATGATCAAGCCTATTTAGAAGATGTGTTTGAAGAACGTTTTATTTTGAAAATTTGTGGGTACCCTTTATGTGATAATCAGTTAGGTTCAATTCCGAAGCATAAATTTAAGATATCAACATCTGTAAATAAAGTATATGACATTACTGAACGTAAGGTAAATTATTATATTAATAATTCTTTTATCCTAGTTTGATTTATTCTAAGGTGAATTGTTTAAATTTAATATATCAGAAATTCTGTAGCCCACAATGTTTTACTGCTGCAAAATATATTAGAGAACAGTTGCCCAGTAGTCCATTATGGGTATTGGAAAATGAAGAGAAACGATGTTATAAATTATGGAATCATACTAAAAGGTATGTTTAAACATTTGTATTTTAGTTTTATAATCATTATTTTACATTTTATAATATGTATTCCTTTGGCTTTTCATCCAACTAAACTTGAAAGTTATTAATTAATTCACTAAAAACTATTTTTCTTATAAAATAACAAGAATAAATATAAACCAAAAATATTTTTAGTTTTTCTTCGCTTGGTGATGAAATTCAATTAAAATATGATAATATAAATGAAAATGGGATTGATAATCATTGATCTAATAAAGACACTAAAAATACACAATTCACATCAATAACTAATATAAAACATGAATGTAATACAATACTAAATTTACAAAAAGCTGCTGCAGATGATACAAGTGTCCAAACAGAGGTTGTAGAAAGTATCAATATAAATGAATCAGAGACACATAACTTAAATACAACAAAGCTAACTAATAGTAATTCTTTGCCATTAACTTCTTTTGATAAAATATCTGGAAGCAAGTCTCGAAACATAATTAGACAAAAGAGCTACACAGAAGAAATTGATAAAAACACTGTACATAAAATGACAGATATAAATGTTAAACAACAAAAAACTTTGAAAAATATAGTTTGATACAAAGACCATTCCAAAAGTTTCAATTTTAAAAATCATTTCTAATACCCTTTGTTCATGGATAACTGTTGATACATTAATATATATACTTGGAGAAGATCGAGTTAAAGAATATTGTAAAGAAAATAGTCATCAATTTAAAAGCAGTATAGATTTAAAGTTGACGCCCAAGCAGTTGGAACAATATGCCAAGTTATGTAAAAAATTGGATTTAATGGAAATACAGGAAGATCTTTCTTTAATAACTAAAAGTAGGTATTTTTATTTGATTAATATTTTGTTTCTTGGTGGTATAAAATATAATATTGTAATTTGTATATATTGGTATAAATATGTAAATAAATTATACTTGTATTATATAAAGGGTATATATATATATATATATATATATATATAATGTTAAATATGAACAATACAACACTCATTTGTTCCACTCTTAACACAAAATTATATATATATATATATATATATATATACAGGGTGAACTCAACGCCAAGCAGAAACTGGGTGATGATATTGATTGTAACTATTTTGAAAAAAAAATAGAGAAAAATATTGGCTGAGAATAATGTAAATTACATTTCTAGGAGACGACCAAAAATAATGACACAATTGCGCCCAATTTTATGGGATTCTGATTTTTATTATTCCGTTTCCGTTTTAACATTCCGTTTCTGCTTGACTTTTAGTCAGTGAAAAAATATGTGAATGCATGTCAGGTTATTCGTTGATGGTGTTTGCTTTTGGACCATACTTCTTTGAAGGAAATGGAATGGCGGTTATAGTGATATTCGCTCATTATGCTCAATTGGAAGACTTGATTTCTTATAAAAAAAAACTTTCATATATTGTAAACATTTAGCAATACACAAAATTTTGGTTAATGCCATCATTTATTTATAGCTCTTGGAAATCCATCCATTATTCCACACACATCTGTATATATATATATATATATATATATATATATATATATACATATATATATATATATATATATATATATTATATATACATATATATATATATATATATATATTTATATATACATATATATATATATATATATATATATATATATATTATAGAATTTTGTGATATGTGTGGAATTAACATTGAATGTTAAATATGAACAATATTGAAATCTGAGATCCGACACAAATATTTTACACGACTTTTATATAAACATCATTAATAATTTATAATTTTTTGTTTACTATTTTCGTTCATTTATATAATTCTCTTCAATAAATTAATCTATTTTCACATTTGTTGATTTTAGTATATGATCGCGCACCTCTGTTAGTTTACATTTTAATAATATCCATCCTTGTCCCTTCATCTTCGACACTTGAAATTTGTTTTCAAATATTTTTATATATATTCACATGTTTAGTACTGTGTCAAGCATTATAAGAGATAGTTTTTCAAAAATTAAATATAATTTAAATAAAATATTGAGAAGATGAAGATGAGGCATACCATGGTCTCGAAACGTCTGTAATTATTAAATAAAGTGTGTGTTAAAAAACTGATTGTTGTATTGTTCATATTTAACACTTAATATATATATATATATATATATATATATATATATATATATATGATAGAATACATTGAATTTATTTTTCCAGGTGAAAATAGTATAGGAGCCAGCAACGTTTTCAAAACAAGCATTTTAGTCAGGCTGGTTTTTTGGTATGTGGTCCTTGGTGCTCTCTCGGTTAGGGTAAGGGCCGTCTGGCAGCTGGAAGTGGTTGCGTTAATTAGTACGCAGCCAATTTGTACAGCGCGATTTCAAAATTTTGAAAGCATTTTAGTCAGCCCAATTTTCGTTTTTTTGACTTCGAATAGGTTCACCAGACTCAATTTTTTTGTTGCCAGACATTTTGGGCGCTGCTAAATATGTGCCAGACGCCAATTTATTTATTAATTTTTTTAAAAATTCAAATCATTTTAGTCCGTCTGAAATTTTAGTATTATGTTCGTTAAGGGTCAAAACACGTAAAATTAATTTGCCAGACGTTTCTGCGGTTGTTAACCATGTCTGGCAAGCAAAAATGTCTGGCAATATGATACTAGTTTATAGCATTTTAGTCAGTCCAATTTTCATTTTTTGACTTGATATTTGATTTGATAACTTGAATAAGTTATCCAGATTCACATTTTTGTTGCCAGACATTTTGGGCGCTGCCAAATATGTACCAGACGCCAATTTATTCATTAATTTTTTTAAAATTTCAAATCATTTTAGTCCGTCTGTAATTTTAATATTATGTTCATTAAGGGTCAAAAAACATAAAATTAATTTGCCAGACGTTTCTGCGGTTGTTAAGCATGTCTGGCAACGAAAAAGTCTGGCAATATGATACTAGTAGACAGAGTGAGACAATCGCTAAATACATTGGCGCGAATGAAACAAAAAACTATTATACTCGTAAGAGCGCTATACGTTTACTAGGCAGAAAACCATAAGAAAAATCAAGTAACTACATTAGACAGATGTGTTTGTTATAAACTTCTCTGCAAAATTGTGTTTATACCATTTTTCTTTAGAATCACCGTTTCTTACAAATTGCCATCTGGAAAGTTAAAAAAATCATATTTCTCATAATATGCAGCCTTTATAAATACATCATCGAAGGTGAATTATGAGTGAAAAATAAAAATCCATTGATTTGTTTTGGATAGATGAGTTTAACGAGTCTTTCGATATATTATATTGTAGTATTATTGTCCCAGTGTGGGAGGTTCGCATACCTGATTGTTTTGAAGGAATTAATCGAAATAATTATGTATAAATGAATGCGAGGCGTGTTATAACATCCAAAGTGCTTAAACAGTTATCATATTAAGCCATAAGACGAATAAATCTGTATAATAGACGTTTTTATTCATTGTTAAAAAAACGATATTCCCAATAATAATCTTGATTTAAGAGACCTAGGTCGAATGACTATCATTATATAGTGATACATATTGATCTAAAATGAACCCATTTGAATTTTTGAATTATTAAATACACTTCGATTTTTAAAAAACAGTGCTCAATTTACAGCTAAAAGCTGAAAGAAAAAAGGGCGGAGAATGTTTGCTGTACAATATATATTGTATATATTATATATATATACTAGAATTTTAAGATTCTATTCTAGGGGTAGCTCGAACTGGTAAGGTGGCAAAACTAGTATTATCAGTATTAAGTATAGGTTTGTGTTACAATTAGTTGCTGCTAAAGCCATGTAATATGTACATTTACCAATAATATTACATGTATCATGTAAAATGAAGTCATTCGACTCAGTTAACTTAGTGATAAAAAAAAATTGCGTACAGCAAAATGATTATTGTCAGTTCTCATTGCATAACTTAAAATATATGATAGTCTTGGGAAATTGACGATGTTACTTAACCACTGTCGAGTCAAATTTTTCAAAATATTAACAGCAATATTTTAAACTCATTAACATATTTTTTACAGCTAGTAAAATTAAAAAATTGACTAATATGATGCAATTTCTTTGTTTTTTCTAATTAGGTCTTTATTTAACTTTATTTTATTTGTTTTATGAAAATGTTATTGAAATTGCACTAACTTTAAATTGCGCTCTTACGAGTATAATAGTTTTTTTGTTTCATTCGCGCCAATGTATTTAGCGATTGTCTCACTCTGTCTACTAGTATCATATTGCCAGACTTTTTTCATTGCCAGACATGCTTAACAACCGCAGAAACGTCTGGCAAATTAATTTTATGTTTTTTGACCCCTAATGAACATAATATTAAAATTACAGACGGACTAAAATGATTTGAAATTTTAAAAAAATTAATGAATAAATTGGCGTCTGGCACATATTTGGCAGCGCCCAAAATGTCTGGCAACAAAAATGTGAATCTGGATAACTTATTCAAGTTATCAAATCAAATATCAAGTCAAAAAATGAAAATTGGACTGACTAAAATGCTATAAACTAGTATCATATTGCCAGACATTTTTGCTTGCCAGACATGGTTAACAACCGCAGAAACGTCTGGCAAATTAATTTTACGTGTTTTGACCCTTAACGAACATAATACTAAAATTTCAGACGGACTAAAATGATTTGAATTTTTAAAAAAATTAATAAATAAATTGGCGTCTGGCACATATTTAGCAGCGCCCAAAATGTCTGGCAACAAAAAATTTGAGTCTGGTGAACCTATTCGAAGTCAAAAAAACGAAAATTGGGCTGACTAAAATGCTTTCAAAATTTTGAAATCGCGCTGTACAAATTGGCTGCGCACTAATTAACGCAACCACTTCCAGCTGCCAGACGGCCCTTACCCTAACCGTGAGAGCACCAAGGACCACATACCAAAAAACCAGCCTGACTAAAATGCTTGCTCGAAAACGTTGCTGGCTCCCGTACTAAAATCTTAAACCACTACCGGATTATGAGTATTTAAAACAGGAAAATCATAAGCTTATGATTAAAGTTCGTGCATTTTATGGAGGGAAAACAGAAATATCAGTGGATGAATTAAGTACTGATGACACCACTATTGCATCTTCAAGGGATAGAGTTGAAACAGTATTTTTACCTTTGAATGATCAATATGACCAGATTGTTAAAAGAAGAGGAATTGTATTATCCTACCTGGATCCTATGTAACTATAACTTTAATCAAATTATGAATTTGATGAATTTTCATAAAATGAAAAATAATTTTTTTTATTTGATTTTAGATTAGCCAAATTATTATTAGAATACAACATAAATGAAAACATATTTCAATTCAAGCATTTGAATTAGATGCCACGAACATTACATTTAAGCCTGCCATGCAGAAACTTTTGGCACTTTTTATACTAGGATTGTAAGTTTGGTTTTTATAAATTATTTGCAAGAATAATGTATTCTTTTATGTAATTTTTGTGTTTTGTTTTTTAGGATGTCTCTACAATACAATCTAAAAGAAAAATTGAACAATATACTTTCGTCAAAGTTATTTGCACAAATATTAAATGCATATAATGTCCATGTTAATGAGTTTATTAATATAATAAATGATGTGACTGATATAGAAAAAGTAATAAGCGCAAGGAAAATATGAAGTATACATTTGTTTATATTATTATTTTTGAATTTATTCTTATAATTTACTGTACATTTTCCATTTAATGCTATTCACAAAAAGCTATTCTGCATAGTTTTTATTTCATTATTTCTATTATTGCTCACTGATCACTTATCAGAAGATTGTTAACAAAGCTAAAAAAAAAACTATTGTTGCAAGTCCAAACAAAAATATGCTGATCTATAATACAACTACTTGCCCATTTTGAGATTGTCTACCAAGATTTCAAACATTAAAATCTTTTTTTTTTTTCATGCTTAGTATAAAAATGTGTAAGCTTCATGTGACAAGTTATTGCAAATTTGAATGAAGTTCACATATTTACACTTTCGTTTCATTCGCGCCAATGTATTTAGCGATTGTCTCACTCTGTCTACTAGTATCATATTGCCAGACTTTTTTCATTGCCAGACATGCTTAACAACCGCAGAAACGTCTGGCAAATTAATTTTATGTTTTTTGACCCTTAATGAACATAATATTAAAATTACAGACGGACTAAAATGATTTGAAATTTTAAAAAAATTAATGAATAAATTGGCGTCTGGCACATATTTGGCAGCGCCCAAAATGTCTGGCAACAAAAATGTGAATCTGGATAACTTATTCAAGTTATCAAATCAAATATCAAGTCAAAAAATGAAAATTGGACTGACTAAAATGCTATAAACTAGTATCATATTGCCAGACATTTTTGCTTGCCAGACATGGTTAACAACCGCAGAAACGTCTGGCAAATTAATTTTACGTGTTTTGACCCTTAACGAACATAATACTAAATTTCAGACGGACTAAAATGATTTGAATTTTTAAAAAAATTAATAAATAAATTGGCGTCTGGCACATATTTAGCAGCGCCCAAAATGTCTGGCAACAAAAAATTTGAGTCTGGTGAACCTATTCGAAGTCAAAAAAACGAAAATTGGGCTGACTAAAATGCTTTCAAAATTTTGAAATCGCGCTGTACAAATTGGCTGCGCACTAATTAACGCAACCACTTCCAGCTGCCAGACGGCCCTTACCCTAACCGTGAGAGCACCAAGGACCACATACCAAAAAACCAGCCTGACTAAAATGCTTGCTCGAAAACGTTGCTGGCTCCCGTACTAAAATCTTAAACCACTACCGGATTATGAGTATTTAAAACAGGAAAATCATAAGCTTATGATTAAAGTTCGTGCATTTTATGGAGGGAAAACAGAAATATCAGTGGATGAATTAAGTACTGATGACACCACTATTGCATCTTCAAGGGATAGAGTTGAAACAGTATTTTTACCTTTGAATGATCAATATGACCAGATTGTTAAAAGAAGAGGAATTGTATTATCCTACCTGGATCCTATGTAACTATAACTTTAATCAAATTATGAATTTGATGAATTTTCATAAAATGAAAAATAATTTTTTTTATTTGATTTTAGATTAGCCAAATTATTATTAGAATACAACATAAATGAAAACATATTTCAATTCAAGCATTTGAATTAGATGCCACGAACATTACATTTAAGCCTGCCATGCAGAAACTTTTGGCACTTTTTATACTAGGATTGTAAGTTTGGTTTTTATAAATTATTTGCAAGAATAATGTATTCTTTTATGTAATTTTTGTGTTTTGTTTTTTAGGATGTCTCTACAATACAATCTAAAAGAAAAATTGAACAATATACTTTCGTCAAAGTTATTTGCACAAATATTAAATGCATATAATGTCCATGTTAATGAGTTTATTAATATAATAAATGATGTGACTGATATAGAAAAAGTAATAAGCGCAAGGAAAATATGAAGTATACATTTGTTTATATTATTATTTTTGAATTTATTCTTATAATTTACTGTACATTTTCCATTTAATGCTATTCACAAAAAGCTATTCTGCATAGTTTTTATTTCATTATTTCTATTATTGCTCACTGACCACTTATCAGAAGATTGTTAACAAAGCTAAAAAAAAAACTATTGTTGCAAGTCCAAACAAAAATATGCTGATCTATAATACAACTACTTGCCCATTTTGAGATTGTCTACCAAGATTTCAAACATTAAAATCTTTTTTTTTTTCATGCTTAGTATAAAAATGTGTAAGCTTCATGTGACAAGTTATTGCAAATTTGAATGAAGTTCACATATTTACTACAAATTTTAAATGAACTAACACAACATTATCATTACATCAAGCATAAATAAATATAAGCATACAGCACATTCAAAATAGTACATTTTTAAATTGAAAACATAATTCTCTTACAGAAGATTCTACAACAGTCACACTTCATATGAGTCACCTTATTTATGCTAAAAAACAAATTACATGATTAAGTTTATAAATAAGTATTTCTGAAGTATATAGTAATAAACTTAGTTGTCAGTTTTCTAAGTATTTTCATAGATTGATTAACAATTCAGAGCAAAAATGCATGTCTCAAGAAAATATATAAATTGTATACAATTAAAAAAAGTAAACAGTATTTTTGTGAAATTTACATATGGTCTTGAATAATTTATAATCATAAAATTAATTATTTTCAAAATTTATAAAACTTAATTCACATGGTTAATATTACAAAACTAAATAATTTGCAATTCCTACATCCTATAAAATGTTACACAATACCTTATTAAAAGTCAAATAATACAATTATGAATATATTGTGTAAAGAAAATATGTAGATAAAAAAGTTCATATTCGAAAAATAAAAGTTACACAAAAAATAGATTTTTATATACAAGTATGTACACACCAGTTCAAGCTTTCCTTGAACCTCTTCTCCGCATTGACGATATACATTGTGGACAATACCATTTACCTTTAGGAGGTGCTTCAATTCCAACACATGGATAATGGAACCATTCAAATGGGCACTAAAAAATATAAATAAGATTGTGATAAGTATACCTTTGAAGATATTTACATGAAGTAAATAAAAAAAAGTATATTACATCTTCATTATCACAAGCGACCATATCTCCATAGGATACTTGATTACAGAGGCAATATTTAGGCTCATTAGGGTCATATGTCCACTCTTCTTGATTTGCGTCTAAAGCAGCTGCATCATCAACCTCTGTACCATTATCAACAGATTCAACAGCATGTGTATGTGTATTATTTATGGGTGCAATACCAGATGAAGAACCAGCAGATCCCATCGAACTGTTTGAATGGGATGTTCCACCAATTATTGAATGGGAAATAGAAGAATTATTGTTGTACTTCCTGAAATAATTAAAAAAATATATTTTTTAATATTATGTAAACATAAGATTTTATATATGGCTATCTACTTTTCTCACAACAATTCATAACTCATATTTAATAGAACATGTTATTTTTAGTTGCATTGAATTTGAATAATCATGTAATAATTTATAAAACAAAAATTTCATGGATGAAAAGTTACTTTTTAATAAAACTGTTTTAATTAAATATATGATTTTCAATAATGAATATATAATTAGTTATTTAAAATGTTTTAAATCCATATAAGAAATCAACACCAAGTGTACAATATATGTTTAAAAACCAGTACAATATATGTTTAAAAATTGAATTGTACGATTTTCAAAGTTTTCTGAAATTAATATAATATTTACTTTTTTTGTCTGCGGTGGCCTGTGGTCCCTTCTCTCTCAACAGCTTGTAATGCTGTTTGAGCAGCACCCGCCAAATCTCTTCCAATTAGCAGTTCATGTCCACTAGTAGCCCCTCCAGAAGTGCCTAAATGAATTGCAGCTTCATAAGATGCTTTTAAAGAGGCTGTTCTTCTGCCCTGTTGCATCTGCTGAGTTGCTGTAATAGCTTGGCTAGCAGCAGCTGCAATTGCGTTGCCTATAAGAAAATTATTTACAATCTAATTAAAAACTATTAAATATACATGTATATTTATTTCAAAGTAATAACTAGTAATAATTTATAAAACCTACTGTGTGTAACAAATTATTTCTGTTAACAAAGATTATATTGAATTATTTTTAACTTCCTGTAGGGTAAGTTATAGTAATTGCAAAAAAATCGAAAATGAAAATTTTCATATATCTTTGCGTTTCAGGGTTTCTGAACATTTTGGCATACCTTAGAAAAAAATGAATATGTGCATGTGTTTGTGTGTGTGCGGATAAAAATTTTCGTCGACGATTTGGGGAACACGGTTCAATCGATTTCAATTATTCAAAAAACATTCGACTGCTATTGATAAGGAGACGTGTTGATTAGTTTTTGGCATAGGCAGGTCTAGCCGTTTCGAAGATACGGGGCAAAAAGTGCCACAAAGGGTAATTCAGTTTTTAAGAGAACGGAGTGTCCGATTTTAATAATTCAAAAAACATTTTACTTGTATTGACAAGATGAACTAATTAAATTTTCATAAAGGCAGGTCTAGCGGTTTCGGAGATCTAGTGAAAAAAGTAAAAAAAAGGCACTTGGCGGTCAAAAATGATTATTAGACACATATGCACATGAAATTATCAGATATTTTATAGAGATTTTAACAATAAGCATAAATTTTGTTTACATTCCTATGGGTTCCGTACCAATGTTTATCCGTTAGACGCCGACACGGCGCTTACGCGCTTCGATTTTTCGTCTCTATGCACTTAAAGCAGTGCGATTGCTTTGAAAAGAAGTTCATTACTTCAAAAATATTTCAAAATAAAAAAAACATTTTTTTCTAATTTTTTTTTCAAAAATTTATAGTTTCTCAAAAATCTAAATTTTTTAAAGTAATTTTTTTTCAAAAATGTTAATCTTTTAAAAATTTTAAATGTTAAGGCACGATGTCATGCGCCCCACTAGTTAAGATTTGAACCGCAAAAATTCGCTAGGTCGTAAAAAAGGATTTCAGAACCACGTTCTAAAAATGTACTTATTTTGCATTATCTTTATAGATCTTCAATGCCTATTTACTCGTACATCAGGAAAAGAATGCGGTTAATGAAAATAAAAAAACGACCACGTTTGTTTTTGTGTTGTGTAATTGAAGCTAGCAGGCTGATTAATAATAAAAATAACATGGCTGCGTAAGCGTATCATAGGTTTTGAAGTTCGTTATTTTCGATTTAAGATATCCAAAGGAAAATTATAATTGATATATAATGCTCCTTAGTAAATTGAAAACAAATCAAAATATTTCATTCTTGGAAAAATGTATGTTAAAAACAATATTTCAGACAAACAGACATAAAATCAAAGAATTTTTTTAGGTTATATACTATGCATGAAGAATGGAAAATCAGTGATAATAATATCTTTTAACATGAATCATATTATTTCGATAAAAAACTAAAGATTGTTATTTTGTTTCAAAAAATAAATATATATATATATATATATATAAATTAATTAAATTTTAAGAAAAATGAGGTTATTAGTTTAGAAATTTAAAAATCAGTATTAGTAATAGCTATTCAGTATATATATATAGCGTAATATAGTTAGATTTAAAACAACATATGGGTAACAAATAAAATCATAAAAAATTCTGATATTCTGAATAAGCATCTGATTATTGTTAGAACTCAACTCAATGTATATAGCTTTGGTTTTCTAAACTTGCATATTAATATATAAGATTTCTGAATAGCTATTACTAATTATGATTCTTAAATTACTAAATTACTAAAAGCCTAGTTTTCTTTTAAAATATTTTTTATATATTAATATATAAAATTATATATATATATATATATATATATATATATATATAATGTTAGATTAGTAAATAATTTATTTGAATTCAACTTTATGTTCAAATTCAATTTTCTTTGTAACAGAATAATTAGCAGTGGAGTAACTCGAGTCTCAAACAATCTAAGAGAGTATTCTACTATGAGGTATAAATTTTAGGTCATTTTTAAATTATAAAAAGGGCAATCAATTTTCTTAGTATTATTTTTTCTATTATTTGTGTATCAACGTTACAAAAGTACAGAAAAAATTAAAACAAAAAAAAGTTAATAATTTTTAAAATTAGCAGTGTTTATAGTGGGAGGTCTCAAAAAGGTGACAGGTGACCATGTACGCAATTACAACCCTCCTAGTAATCAGAAATGAGAAGAAAAAGATTATTCATCTAGAATGATGTCTCTATGGTATATACTAGGATTAAGCTATTGTTTTTACATAAATGGCAACTGTTGCCACTTTTTTGAGTTTCTTGATTTGATAAAAAAAAAAGTGAAATTGAAATTTGGGAATGTGACTAGTGCATACTAGACAAAAGTCTATGAAAAAGGTTCTCTGAAAATTTTAAGTGAATCGGTCTAGTAGAACTCAAGAAATCGTGTACATCTTATTGAAAGACCGTTTTGAGAAAAAAGCGTTAAGTTTTGCAAAAGAAAGGAAACAGAAGAAGATCATTATAGTCAAATAGCTGTATCTCCAAAAATAATTTAGATTTCAAAAAATCCTCTTGTATATACATTCTTGAATAGTTAAGCTTTGAAAATATGAAAAAAAAACAAAAACACAATTTTTTGGAATTTCTACACTAGAATACCCCCTTAATTAACAACAATTAACAAGAAAACTTTTTAAACATAAAGCAATATTGAGATAGAACCCAAAGTCCTAATTAAAAACTTATTTCATACTCTGTCAAGATAAAAGGCGGTTCATTTATTTTCAAAAAGTTATAAAGTTTATGAGAACTTCAAGTAAAAAGTATTTGATATTATATGAATTGTATCAATTAAATTCAACAATATAGTTACTATTCTTCATGAAAAAAAAAATAATATAAAATCTAAGTAACCTTGAGGGTTTCAAAAAAAAAAAAAAATAATGATAATAAATAAAACAATGTATTCTAAAATATACACCTTGATAATCGAATAGTTATGTAAATAAACTCTTTCGAAAAGATATGTTGAGCTATATTCAATATTTTGTTTATCAACCAGATAAGGCTTGTAAAAAGATATTAATACATACAAAATATATTGTAACTAGCTATTTTTGAAATATAATATAAATAATAACAGTTTTTTTTAACATAGAATTAATTGAAATGTTAGTGTATTAATAACTTACCAATATTAGTAGCAGTCCAACATTGTTAAAAGAAAAGTCAAAACTTGTATCAATTCTAGTTATTTATAAAAGCATGCAATTTTTCACAAATATTTTATTTGATATTATACACATGCACTATAAATACATCAATATAAATATATTATCACACTGCACAGCTTACCTGCACCAATATGTTGAAGAGTATATCCAGTGGAACTTGAACCAGGAGTAGAGTTCTGAATGGCAGCTATATTACTTTGCGATGATGCTGGCGAAGATGTAGCATGACTAGAATGTCTTTTCTCTAAAGGCATACAATCAGCTCTAACTGACGAAGTGCTATCACGTCTTTTTTCAGCACGAGGCCTGTATCTGAAAATTTGTTAGAAGATATTATGACAATAAATATAATCAAGCTTCCAGCAAATAAAGTAAGTGACTTTGTTTAGTTTACAACATCTATAATCATAATGTAAAGCATTATAATTTACTCATAGGTATATGAGTCTCTCTGTAATGATGATTTTAGAAAAGTTTTATGATCAGCTTATATTTGAATATTAAATAACAATGCAATTATAAGCACAAGTATTTATGTATTGTAAAATAAATTTTAATTCTAGGCCTTGAAGAGTAATCATAATTGTTATAAAAAGATCTGCTTGAAGCTTGATTTAATGTGCCAATATTTTAATATCATAACCTGTTTTCTTTTTGTGGATTTGATGGCAACTGCTGTGGTACATCAAGTTCCAAAGAACGTTTTTCAAGTACTTCAGTAATTCCATTATGATCGGCCTCCAGCTCACATTTAAATTTATGTAGTTCACTATCTGGAATAAAACAATAACCACAATAAAACATTATTAATAATATAAAATATTTAAAGTGGTTTGAACCCTTTTCTATATAAAATATTATTACAGCAATAATTTTCTTTTACTAAAGTTCATGAATTTTAGCCTCACCAAGTTTACGCAGGTATTTTTCCACTAGATCATACATTTGATTGGCTAATTGAACCTTTTCATCAGCATCTTCCAATGCATGATAATAATCTCTCCGAATTATAGAAAACTCATTATCGGCTTGTTGACCAACAAATTCTCCCCTTCTACATCCTCCAAAGAAATTCTTAACACGCTTTTCTAATGAATCAATATTATCTAAAAGAAAAAAACAATGCCAGTATAAAAACCAACAAATTTAGCATGGAATGCAGTGATTTATCAATATAAATTACTTTGTACAGTTAGATCCATTTCTCGCATTTCTGTAAATCGATCTCGTAGTTCTTGAGGTAAATGTTCTATCACTGTAAAAATGTATCAAAATTAAATAAAGAGGCGTTCAAAAAAATTTAGTTTTATAACTCCTGGAAATCTTTCCATACAGATGAATTTAAAATTATTAAGCACTTTAAAGCATTCATTAATGGTTGTTGTTTAATATGCAGAAAAAGCTGTGGATTTACTCATTCATTTAATTAAAATAAAATAACTATAACTTTAATCTTAGCTCACATCTGAGTAACATTGTTTTCTCTAACAAATAATTTAGAAATTATGAAACCCACAAAAATTATTTTCTCAAAAATCTGTATAATTCAAAGTAAAATTAATAAACCATTAAATTTATATTATGTTACCTATTTACAAAATATTGTTAACAACTCTAAATGATTGGTATTTTTTGATGCAAGTAATATGTACACACTTCAGAATATATCACTTAAATTTATATTATTAGCTCAAGTTTAAATTTAAAGTTATTTTATAAGCTAATTACAAAATATTCTTAGAAACTTTCAAAAGAACTTGCTTATGGCTTTTTAACACTGCCTCATCGAAAACATATTGCATAAAGTCCCTTAACTCTAATATGTTTCGTAGGTAGAAGCAAGATTATTTAAAATATTTAATTTAAAAAAAGAGCGATTTGTTCATAACGTTTGACGTTTAAAAAGTGATGTTGCTCATGCATTTATTGTATCATGTACTCTTAAAGAATTATTCATGAATAATTTATAAAATATATCACAATTATAATCTTCTGTCGCACGTTTCTTCCGACACATTATCATTTTTCTGAGGTGCATACTGCATTTATGCAGTATGACAAAATGTTATTACATTTTGAGACCCCAAACTATTTTACACAAAACGTTTTATATTCTTATATGTAAATTTACAACAGTCAAGATAATGTAGACTTTCGTATATCACTGAGACTCTTCCATGAATTCCATACGTTTCCAATATCATTAATATACATGATAAAATACAAAATGTATTTAGAAGCTAAAGGATAAAAAATTACAAACAACGCCATATTGACATTTATTCAATCTGTCAAAAGTTTTGTAGATTTTTTACTCACTCTCTAAATAATCTTCTAAGTATAACATAATTAAATATAAAGTAAATAATTTATCAAAAAATATATTCTAAACACAATTGTGTGTTTTTACATAAATATAAATATACAATTTATCTACAGCTTTAGCACATCTTCTTGTGAGAAGTGGCCATTTTGACTGAAATTGACAAGAGCGAAATACATTTAAGAGGATTGAAAAGTATCAAAATCAATTATGATTCGGCGCGTGCCAACACCGATTGATCTTAAATTTGATGACATAAGGGAATATGAAGCCATCAGGAAAGGAATAAATTCAACTAAAAACACAGCGACAAATGGAGAAGGTACGAGCTCTCAACCGCATTTTGTTAGCGTCGACTCGAAAACGGCGCAAGATATTAGAAGAAGGCTCGGCATTACGCCTTTGACGACTCCTTAGGCTAATACGCAATACACAATTGTTGGCAAGCTGATGATGCATCGAAATTTATGTCGACTCAGAATATTTTGAAAGATCCACAGATCCTGAACGTGCGCCTTTTTTATCAAATCGTATTTGTAATGTTTTATATCGATTTCATATGTATTTTATATGATAATTTCTATTTTTTTGTGAACGATTTTTATTTCTGTACATTGTACATATCTTTTGTCATTCATGAAACACTTTCATTGTAAATATAACTTTATTTTACATAAAAGTAGTGGTTAAAATAACATAAGATGTATACAAATCATATTGTAATAAAACAGCATACGCATTGATCAATTGTGATTAAAATTATTTTCAATTACTACTTGAATAGTTACATACATATTATATACATATATTTATACTTGTTTATCTATGGTTATATATATATATATATATATATATATATATATGTGTGTGTATTTGTATGATTCTAAATTAATATATACATATCATATGTATATGTATGGCGCGTGTGCTTCAACAGTTATCTTTAAGGTTATATTGTCTGAACGTAACTAAAAATATAAATCACCAAAAAGAACTTTTAACGAGAAAAACTGATACGTGACCTATAAAAATAAATCATATTTATCTTTTCACGTAATTTGCATTTTTTGGCTTTTACTGTTATACTATAATAACCTACTACAAATTACATCTGACATCTAACGTCAGGATTCATGCAGCAACATTTTACACATCAGTTCACTGTATGCTTATTTATCTATGTATTTCTTTCAAACTCAAATTGAGAATAGTTATATTTAAATTTTATATATTTTTAACAAGAATCGAACAATGTTACTTTTTTTAACTTGCTTGTTTATCATTTTCTAATTATTTATAACTTTCATGCAAAATATAATTTTTCATTTAAAGTTGGCTGCTGTGCAAAAATGAAAACGTATATTTTGATGATAATTTTTGAATTATTGTAATCGCACTTATTATTTTTGATGAATGCGAAAACGTATCATAAGACTTTAACGAATTTAACGTTTAAGTGGCGCGTTTTAAAGACACAGGCACTAGCACAGTTAAGGATGATTACTTAAAGATTAAGGATTATTACACAGTCAAAGATAATTACTTTCACACTTTCACACAAATATAAAATTCGTCTAGCTGAACAACAAAACTTGATCGCCAGAAAACTTCAGAAAAACTCTACCAAGGCCTGATTGAAAAGAAAACTTTCTCTGCATTAATCAACAATAGATAAGACCTTCGACAAATCACTGACAATGGTCAGATGATTTGTATTTTGCCAACGCCCTCAGTTATAATAGCACAAAGTAAAAAAACTAAAGCAATTAGGAAATCAGCTTTATTAATCCTCACGTTTCAGTCTTCATCGAGACCGTCATTTAGTTTAAAAAGACAAAAATAATTTATCACTACACTACACGAATTAACACGATTGTAACACAAAGGTATCAGTAGTTCAAACATTTAAAACTAATTATGAATTTTAGTTAAAAAACAAATTTTGTGTAAATTATTTGATTTTCTTTAGATTATTTATATTTGATTACTTTATTACCAATGAAATTAATTTTGCTTGTAATTTGTAATATGCATATTGATTTGGACACAATCGTTAATCACTATTCAAATGAATTATATTTTTATTATAACATTTGATTAACTTAATAATAAACTAGTTCTTACCTCGGTAAAGCATCAAGTCTATTATATCCATTTTAAAACAATTGGTTAGGATTTGTGCACAATATGGTCACTTACTTTGCCAAAATAACTGATACTGTAAAGATTTCAATTATGGCGTTTGTTCCTAACGAGTCTATTGTTTGGGAAGGGTCCAGAATACCATGGCAACACAAAATCCACAGAATTTTCTTCAAAATTGAAAAGTTTAGATCAAAACGGTAAAAAAATTACAAAAATTATAAGAAGAACTGAAGTTAACCCAGGAACAAGCCAATAGAATGATTATCACACATAAATTATCAAAGGTACGTGCGACATATATGTCAAATATGACAAAAACTATTTGTGAATTCAAAAATCTACTATTGGTTTTAGTGCACTCAGTAATTGTATTAATACCGTTGTGATAATTATATTTGCCTTACAAATACCAAAATTCCCAATCTCAAAATTCAAAACATGTACTTCTGCATTTCACAAAAGTTAAAATATTTGATACACAACAAAATGGCGGCATATTAATAATAATATTAATGGCGGCATTATAATAATAATAATATGTATATCATAGGTAAACAAGTATAATAACATAGATAAACAAGTATAATACTTCTATGCAATATTTATATTTATATATACGATATCGATATCGATAATATAACAGGCCCAAATATTCGTTCCTCTGGCTCAGTAAATATAATACAGAGATTAATTTTGTTTCTAATTCTTTGATACAATGAAATTAATATTTAAAAAAAAAAAAATAATTTAGAAATTAATTCCGATTTTTTTTGAAAAAAAAAATCAACTTACAATTAGATGCTAAATCGCCATCTATGAGAAATTTATGAAACAAAGCGACAAATACAAACTAATATCATATAATTAACATTTAAATCTGCAATAATTAATAAGGAGACCAATAATTAAGATCAAATAAAAAAAAATATTATAAAACAAACGTTAGGAGTCTTGGTTTGATTCATTTTCAAATTCAGTACACTTTGCAATATTTACCGGGATGCTTCAAACAAATTTTTCAATATTCACACAAAACACACACGCGCGCGCTAACACACACACACACTCTCATACGCACATTTATATATATATATATATATATATATATATATATATATATACTAGCTGACCTTGTAAACGAGGTTTAGCTATAAATAATAGTTTAAAAAAAATTTTAGTATAAAAAATATTTACATAATTGTAAAAGTGGAAGTTTGTGGTATATAAGTGGAAAAAATAAAACAAATTAAATAAATGATTTACCCACTGCAACGCAAGCCTTATATGAATATTCGTGGAACTTAATAATAGTCATTGCAAGTGCCAGCTTAATCTGAAACAAATTGATATAAGCTCAGAAAAGTCTTGGTTTAAGTTCAATGAAAAAGCTATATGAAAAATTATTGGATTACTATAATGACTATTATAAAATAGGGATTTGTGGTAGGACGGTGAAAATTTAGATTTGTATGCATTTTTAAATTCCGAACTAACAAATCAAAACTAGTGTGGCGCATAGCATCGTGCCTTAAAGCAAATTGCAGGAACTTTCCGTACCGTAATTAAACATTCGAGGAATGAAAATAATCAATAATAGTTTTGAAGATTGTCAAATAGATTACTTATTATAAATATATACTGTAAATTTATAGGTGCTTTTTAAATTGGGTGATGAGCGTATTTTATAAACTACTTATGTGTACGTTTACAAGAGTAATTTTTTTAAATTAGATTTTTATAACGTAAAGATATATAAAAATTTTCATTTTCGATTTTTTTGCGATTACTATAAGTTGCCCTACGAGAACAGTTAAAAATATCATTTGGCGTTTTTTTCTTCCACACCGAATTCCGAATTTCGTACGAACAAAGTTCTTTATATCTTTTACGGTTTAGTTTAGATAGTAGAGAGCAATCTGTCTGATTAATCACAATTTCGAAGGTTTTTTGAAATATTTTGAGAATTTGGAAATTATTGAAAATATTCGATTTTTTTTTAATTTTCGAAATATTCTCCAATTTTTGTAAGAAATCATTTTTTTAATTAGTTTTTTATGAAAATAATGAAAAATTTTGAAAATTTGAATTTTGTGAAACTTTGAACTTTTTTTAAAAATTTTGATTTTTTTTTTAATTTTCAAAATAACTAAATTTTCTGTAAATGCAATTTTTGCACGCCATCTACTCAAGCAAAATATTTTTTGAGTTAATCTAATTGGATAATCCGTTCTCTCAAAAACTGCATAATCGTTTTTACAGTTTTACACCCTTTACGATCCATACATCCGAAACGGCAAAATCCTTTTGCAGAAACGCCTCGCGATAACAAATAATTTTTTGATTGTATATTGCTAATCGGTATTCGGCCGAATACCAAAAAAGGTGCCGAATATTCCGAATATTCAGTGCAAGCTTAATTTTTACACACACACACACACACACACACACACATATATATATATATATATATATATATATATATGTATATATATATATATATGTATATATATATATATATAAATATATATATATATATACTGTGAATTTAAAGGTGTATAGGTCAGAATCATACAATATATATATATATATATATATATATATATATATATATATATATATATATTAGGCTGGTCCTCAAAATGGTTTTTTTCGAATTTCCATGCTTCCAAGGGCTCAAATAGTTTCAAATTGATAAAAAACAATTC